CAAAATAAATTTAGGAACCGCTCTGTCTCCCTGACTACTGACACAAACAGCATTGCGGATAGTGAAGACACCTACGACAATGACCAACCTAGTAGGACGTACGAGACGAAAGTAGAGCATAGAAGGATGGATTCCTCAGATGTTGCAGAATGGAGCGAGACACCGACAATGTTTTATGCTGAGATGTGCGCTGACCGGGAAGGAAAGGAGGTCGAGAAGCAGGTATCATCCCATAGACTGGGCGATGCTTTCTCGGAATTGGGTGCAGACAAGTCTTGTGTTGTTTCTCCTGCGATCAATTACAGAGATATTTATCAGGCACTTGTTTGAGGAATCTGACGATTTTACACGTGCATGACATCATTAATTTGAGGATACATGTACATGTACCAGTAAAGCCATTTATGAGATGAACCCTGTTTTGTGGTAACATGTGCCAGTATGTAGTGTTAGCTGTAGTCCGCTCCTATCCTGTGATGCCTGGTTTACATAATGTGATGTAAACTTGTATTTTAATTTGCTTCCCCAGAATCTAGCCGAGTCTCACGCGAACCACAATTTTTTTTGATTTTTTTAATGTACCTTTTTAAACGTATTACAACTTTGGCAGTACACCTGGCACTATCTGCTTCATGAATGCACAGTGATTGAAAAAAGCATGAGAAGAATGAGGTGTGTGCTTGAAGGTTTCTGCTGAATCGCTCCTTCTTCTTAGCCGTAGTCATAATTATTATTTTTCTCTCCAAATAGTGAATGTTTTCATAATTATTTTTTCTATTCACTGGTTTGACTGATAATTATTTTTTTGGTATTTTTAATAATGCTAAACGGCGATTTCCTTGGCCTAATATCACTGTGATAATTACTGTCATATTAAGCCAAGTAAAAAAATTGATTGTTTATCGTCCGCGCTGCCCCAAATTTTCACCCTCATGGCCAAATTATTTTATTTTTTAATATTGGCAAATGCACTGTAAGGCCTCCCTTCTACTAGGCCTTGACAGATTATCCTAATACCGGCATTTTTGTGAAATTACGCTTTTCGTATTGCTGAAAAAATTGCAGAATTTAATATGCTATTTATATGCTAAAAGTTATCATATTATGCCGCATTATGCTCACATACATGTATATACGTATGCTGCTAATGTATAATGGTTCTGTGCAAAATAACAGGGGATTTTTTTGTAGATGGCGTTGTACTGTAGTTGCAAAAGTTCAACGGGGTCAACGCACCGTCCGACCTAGCTACGACCGTCACTGATTGTAATGGACTGGACATGTTATCAAGGGAGTCGTAAACCTACGACTTCCTGGTGCATCTACTTGTACTTGTAGAACATGTACAACTGTATGGAATTTGATGCGAACAGGCGGATTATTCCAATTTTATGCGATCCGTATGCAATTTGCCTCGAATTATGCGATTATTCGATTTTGGTGGGAATTATGCGAAAAATTATGCTAGCATAATCTGTCAAGGCCTACCTTCTACGGCCTCTAATCAGCATGGCCTAGATTTTCGAAGGTCAAGTCCACAGACTGAACCACGACTTAAATGCTATGGCCCTAGTATGGGCTTGAAAAGCGAAACTGATTATCAGCTGCCTGATTTTCTTCATTTTTCTACATTGGTTGTTGCACCTGTCCTTATTAGAATCCTCAAAATTGTCTTGCAAGATGTCATTCATGGCTGACGATTCACCTGCATCCCATGGATTTATCTCTGCACCAAAATGGCTTAAAAATACAAGAAAAAACAAACATGAAAAAGGCTTGTCTGAGGTTGCGAACACCTACCCGGTGCCCTACAGCCATACATGTACCGGGTACATGCATAATAAAAAAATTAAATAAAAACCCTCTCGTCCGCCCCGATTTCTCGGGAAAAGCTGACGATACACAATCAATATATGCACGTCATGTTAACGTGGTCCTCTGGTCTTCACGGCGGCCGGCAGTAGTGACGTTCTGCTCTACGTTTCGGGTACGCGACGCAAAGAATCACGCGAACTCTCTTCGCGTTCCCGTAACGTAAAGAAATTCTGCTCTACGTTTCACGTAAAGAAGTCACGTGGAATGTGTACTCGGAATTTCGCCTTCCATATTTGGCAGTTTTCTGCCTGCATGCACTCGAATGATACCCAGCAGATCCGTATGCATTTTCTTTCCGTGTGTCACAACGTAGAGAATTATTTCTAGAACCTCATTTACGCGTAGAAATCTGCACCCAAAGCATGCGAAGCCGTAGACTCTAACCCAGACACCTGCTCTCTACGTGATTTCTCTACGTTTCATGTATAGCAGAACCTCCCTAGTAAAACCAGCATAACGTTGGATTTCCTGCTCAAAATTCAATCAACTCTTCTGGAGGGCTCCACTGCCGGTGCCAGTGTGTACTTCGAAGTACCAAAGGTCCAAACACCGTAGATGCTATTCACTGTGGTCTATACATGTAGGTGAGAGGGTGGATTTCCTCGTACCTCCACATATTGTCAATATAACCAGGGAAGCAGTGGCCCAACACATTTTCACTATTACTGTAAGACATGTATATATAACGAGGAAGCAAATCATTCTAACTTTTTTAACGGATGTCATTTCTTCGTTATAATAAGATTCGTTGAGGCCGTACTGCTTCAGATATGCTGTGTGTGGATATGGCAGAATACTGCAAGATCGTTAACATATCTTCTCGTTTAATAGCCTATGAATTTTGGACAATCGTTAAATTTGCGACTCGTTTTAATAACATGTCTTACAGTATTATTATTGGGGGACTGTGTGTTGCTCCCTACACGAGAGCTCCCGGTTTTCCTGCCGACTTGAATTCTCACTTGACTGACTCACGACTGCCGTCCAGAGCACACGAGAAGCCCATCCAACCGTCCACTCGACAAACCTGCATACTTATAGTTAGCATCTATGGTTGTTGGACCTTTGGTATACACTGGAGCCCTCTAGAAGATTTGATTGAATTCTGGGCAGGAAATCCAACGCTATGCTGGTTTCACTGTCGGCCGCCGTGAAGACCAGAGGGCCAGATCTGTATCGTCGGCGTTTGAAGAAGTGTGATTTAATCACTGAAGACGATGATCACCAGGGAGTCGTCAAATACTGTAATTTCACAAAAATGTTCGGTGTATTTTTATTATCAAAATGCTTTAGGCAGCTTCATTACTAGGCCTCCTCGGAATGTGCCGGCATAATTTCGGGAATTATCGGTGTGATTTTTAAAACGGGAATTATTGGCAATTTTTGTGGAATAATCGGTAAAATTTGAGCAATGCCCCTTTTTCAATTTTTTCCATTTATAACACCCTGATTTGTACCAAAAAGCTCATGATCCTGAAGTTGATCGCCCGGTAATTCAAAAAAGAAAGAAAAAAAGCTTCCAGCCGAGTTTCAAGCGAACCGTGATTTTTTTTGTCCGTACAAGTGGCAAAAACCCCGTACGCGGTACGGTATCTGCAAAAAAGGGAAGAAAAAAAAGAATTATTGTGAGAATTATTGGTGGAATTACGGGAATAATCGGTCGAAACTTTGAGCAATGCTCAAAAGAATTATCGGTAAAAATACGGGCATATTCCACGGAGGCCTATTCATTACACTTGAATAGTTTGCAGGCAACCTGCGTACACTCAAGAACGCACTGCATTTTTATTTTTCTGTATACTCGATCGTAGCAATCTACTTTCCGTGCGTCTGTTTCATACCTGAAATTTCCGAATGCACCGAACAAACACTAACACACATAGTGCAATAGGGAACTGCTTCTCTGTACACACGTACCTAAATTTTCTGTTCGCCTAACCTGACCTTTCGCCCTCAGATCATACCGAAAATATTAAGCACCTAGAATTTCTGAAAATTACTAGCAGTGTAACTGGTATACATTGTACATGTACCGGTACTACAATTAGTACAATTAGTACATTAGTACAAGTAGTATGGTATTTTAACGAATCTCTGTAGACTGTAGTAGACGTCGTACTTCAAAGGTTACTTTACGACTTTACTTGAGAACGGTTTTATTCACAACACCAATTGGGCCAATCGCGTGAAAGCATGAAGTAAGAGTCAAAGCAAAAAGACAATCCATTTTCGGAAATACAGTCAACTTTGCTTATAACGACACTCGGCGAGGCATCAAAAAAGTGTCCTTATTCGCGAAGTGTCGTTACACCTGAAGTCTCATTATACATGTATGTATTACAGTTGGAAGGGACTTTGCTCTGGGCATGGAAATTCTGTCGTTATTCGCGAATTGTCGTTATATCCGCAGTCGTTATTAGCGAATTGTCGTTATATCCGCAGTCGTTATTAGCCAAGTTGACTATACATGTATAATAGAATCAAGCGTACTTTCATGTACTCTTGATAGAACACTCCACGACTTACTAGTTTTTTGTTTTTGTTTTTCGTTGTAACTATTAGTTTCATGACCATACATGTACATGTATATAGGCAATCTTCGGACATTTCTCAAGACGTGTGTAAGATACAATGTAGTTCTATTCGAATGAATATTGAGCCGTGACTCTACCCAGCCGGAGGACTCTCATTTCCACGACTTACTAGTAGCCATGACTACTTAGGTCTTTGTCTTTTGACTGCGCGCCCTTTTGACTCGCGGGTCCGGGTGGAACAATGACAATGACTGTGTCATGTCATCATGGTCATTGACATGATCATTGTACACAGTACTGTATACAGTTTGATGTCAGCTGAGGCCGCGCACCGAAGCTAGCTAGCTCGACACAAAGAAAAAAAAACACTTTTTTGAATCATTTTGTTGACTCTCGCGAGCGAGCTGCGCTACTACTACTCACTGTCTCGATCTCGAGTATCCTCACGTCACGTGCCGAGATCTCGTACTCGACGGGAATCATTCAACAAAAATTATTGAAGGTTTGATTGTTCAGTCAGCGAACCAGACTAGCAGTAGCAACTTTTCTGCAAAGATTCTATGAATAAAATAATCTGCGCACTCAGACTCAAACACACAAGGCATCGCCGCGAGGTACTAGTAGGTAGGCCAGTCACGGTTTCCAAGAACGTTTTCTTGTGACGATAATCAGTTTTGGAAGCGTTTCAAGGTTACTACAGGCCTACATAATTCATTCAGTAGTAACGTTACAACTGATCATGTTCATTACAGACACATAAACGCGGCGGCAAAATAAGTCCTGCAAGCGCGTATGCACTTTTTACTAGCACTACAGTAGCCGAGTTGCAGTACCCACCGGTATGTATCGAGCACGGAGACCATGGCAGGCTGCAACTGCTCTGAGCCGCTACTGCATGGCTGGCAGGAGCCTGAAAACCGGCGGTGTGCAGAGACCTGTGCCATATGCAACGATACCAACACGTTTTAGCTCGGTAAGATTATTATTACAAACTATGTACAGTCGACTCCTGATATAACGAACACCATTGTGCAGGAGAATCAGTTCGCTATAGCCGAATTTCGTATAACAGACATGCACTTACGCTGTGGGTTCAAACTGGGAAATGGACAACGGTTGGCGATATCACGAAATTCGCTATAGGCGAGTTCGTTATAAGTGGAATTGACCGCATGGGACGTTCAGGAATCGTCTTGAAAACAGCTGATAGAATCTATGAATTTTGCTGTTACAGATTAGAAGAGTGTCATTGAGAAAGAGCCAGTTAGAGTCCTCAATTGAGGGTTTGTAACATTGCAGTGCTTGCTTGCTCTGTTCACAAAGGGCTGCTCATCCACTGCCATCAAGAGTCCATGCGCACTCTTGCTGACATCCATTAAGCCTGAGTCATACTTCGTTTCGCGTACGGGAATTTGCTTCGCATTGCAAAAAAGAGTTGACTTGAGCTCAACTTGTTTGGTCCGTCGCGAGACGATCGCGCGATGACTTTCCCGTACTCGAAATGAAGTATGAAGCAGCCTTTAGTCACTCTCATCCAAAACTGCTGATTTTTACTTCAAAAAATTGTTTTGTGAGTCTTGTACATTCTGACGTTTTGGCCCAGTCACCTTTTCATCAGAACAGTTTACAAGTGGCAAACATGGCCGTGTTACGGCAACATGAAAACGAGTTCACTCCTATCTCTCTACTCCAGGTTGTCTGGTACCACGCACTGCCCGTAACTTTAATATGTCCGCAACACTGTATACCGTTCGTTTTCATGGCAACGTGCATATAGCCATTATAGGTCTGGCCTGTGACATCACTATTTCCACAAAAGTGGCAAAAGATTCGAAAAAAGAGTTGTAATAATTCCACTATAAACGTGCCTGCAGGGCGCACGGCTGACGGAGGTGCCCGCGTCACTTCGAGGTCTGAATAAGTGATGCCAGCCTGGTATATATTATGTGCATGTACATGTACGCATGACTCAGCGCATTCAAACAGGCAAGAAGAAGAAGTGCCTTAGTAAGCAATATCGCCGGTCAAAGAAGAGTGCATACCAGTAGGTACGTGTGAGTCCTCATGCCATCAATCCGCGCTGGAATCGGGCCCGTTTGTACTATTTCAACCTGTTCCATTGCTTTGTGCTTACGCAAAGCAGCACTGTGCGTACCGAGATCACGCGGTGAAGCACCGACAGCGAGGGCCCGGCAAAGCAGGGCAGTAGGTACAACGTTTCCAGCCTGCCCCTGGATCAATCTCGCACACCTTAGAGCAAACAGAGCACTGTAATGCCGGCGATTGCATTGAGGCTAAAATCACAATCGTCGATCATTCTTGTAGTCATCCAAGGTGGTAAATTCGGTTGTGCGTCACTCTTCTGCAACGTGTCCCCCAAATACAAGTGATATACTTGTGAAGTAAATTCTTTGGAAGCATTGAAAACGGTGGGGCACAAGTTATGCGTTTTCAATAATTCCAACTAATTTTTTCCTTGACCCGCCATCCGGATATAAATTCAAGGTACTCCTGGACTCAGGCGTTGTCCAAATCTTTGTCCAAGTCTAAAGCCATGACTCGTCCTAAAATCTCCTAAACTGAGGCTGAAAGAAAATCAGACTAGTCCAGCATTCCCGTAGTAACTCCGATGTGGTAAATTCGGTGATAGGTGCTAGTGTGTCGTCAGCGTACCGGCACGTCATTCTCAGGTGCTTTGCATCACCATTCTGTAGCAGAAATACACGTGAAGTAAATTCGAAATACGAAGGAAACATTGTCTTGGGCATTTTTTCAAAGTTTTCCAGCATGATTTCGGAGCTGTCGCTGACTGGATAGCAGTAAAGGGTGTAGAAGTAGTTCGGTGATCTGCAGAAAAGGTGTCGCCTTGGGGCCATCACCAATAGACAACAACAGTAAAACCTGGTGTAAGCGACCTCTCGTTTTAGCGACAGTTCTGCACGGACACTGTGGGACCTGGTTCTAAAGACCACCTGGCCTTGACGACCGCTTTTCCTTGCACCGTGGGGTGGTCGCTCAAACCAGGTTTTACTGTACATGCATTGTGCTATGATGTGACCAACTGCAGCAACATAGAGTTCATCTTAGTTTTATTCTTAGCAATATAATATTATGGCTAGTGCAGCCAATGACCACTTTGCGTGGCGATTGCAGAGTTTCTGTAAGCAACCACGTTTCACTGGGTAATCCTGTCGTAGCGCGTAGGAGAGTAGCCAAAACAGAAAAGTCTACTGTTGTCGAAATTCGTCTCACGCCTTTTTGGTTTCTTCACACTTACACCTTTTTTTCTTGTCATTCCCTCGATGTGTGTGATGGTATGCATGCTACCGTGTTGAGTCCTGGTACTCTTCTATGGGCTGTTTCCATCACCACCTGTTATATTAAAATTAATTCATTGTGCCTGGCCGGGCATCCTTTTCTCTTGCATTCCACCTGCTCTGAAGGCAACTGTAAAGTTTGTCAGGAAAAGTCCAATTTTTTTTGGATGATTTTGAAAAGTCTGAACAGGTTCTTTAAAAAAAAATGTGATTCCAAAACTGTCTCGAAGAAGATTTCTCTATGATGATGGTTCAGTTCTCTCAGCGATCTTAGACCCTATATTCTAGCCTAGCTGGATCTGTACCCTCAGTACAGCTTACCCTGCCATGTTGTCTGATTTGAGGTTCTGGTTGCTGAATTTGCTGCTACAAAATTCGGGCTGATTAGAATTTACTGAAACGTTTCCCTGGCAAAATAATCTACGGGGGGGGGGGGGTGGGAGCAATGGGATGGACTGGTTGCCTATAAACCCAGGGTATAGGACTCCCTGCTGGTGCTTCTACTACTAAATGGGATCATGCACTACTGTCACACTGCACACCCTGTGTTATTGGTGTAGACGAGAGCCAGCGCAAGAAGTGGAATCTGGATCCGCACCAGCACCAGCAGTAGCAGCAGCAGCAGTGGCAGCGCCGCTGCGGGTGATGGACGCGGCAAAGCGAGCAAGGCGACGCGTAACAACCTGATCCTGATGGGACCACCGGGCGCTGGCAAGACGTCGGTCGGAGCGTGTTTGGCCGAGCGACTGTCCCTGAGTCATGTGGACATTGACAACGACCATTTGGAGAATATCTGGGGATGCCCTGTGGCGGACAAGGTTAGATGTATGCATACGGTGATGCTCAATGAAATCCGATCACGGGATTCAAGTACTCGCCGAGCACTGTGCAGCCTTCGCCCTGAAAACACTGCCATGGGAACGTTGCAGAATGCAACGTCGACTCACCCAATCGAATTTCATTGAGCAGCACTGAAGCCTGTAGCCTGATTATCCATGGATGCAGTGAATGGGTTTTCCGGCCTTTGTCCACTCTCTTATAATTATGTGTGATCTACTCGTCTCCCACCCCTTTGGAAGCTGCACGCATCCCTTGATTCCTTGGGAATGCGGGGGGGGGGGGGGGGGGGGGGGAGAGGGGGGCTATGATTGCGTGAGCATCAGCCTAACTGACTCTGAGGCAAACCGTTTGTAGGTAATTATTATCGGTGCATTAATCAAATGATCGACGGCAACATCGGACGACGTATGTGAAGATGGCCGCAGCAGAAGATGAAAGCGTTCTGTTTTGTACCCGCTCCCGTAGAGAGCATTTTCTAAGCAGTAAGCTTGCTGAAAAAGACAATATAATGCAAGGATGTGGATTTAAACAGAAAATGTGCAATGGTAATTCAGATTCAGAATGTTCTATTACCATACTGTAGCATGTCACCTTTTGCTCATTGTGCCGTTCCTACGGTTACGGAGAGTGTAGTTTGAGTGTGTATAATGCGAGTCGTGAATTCTTTTTTGTTATTTGACTGTGATGTAGCTTAATCTGGTGAAAGGGGAGCAGTTTGTACATGAAGAAGGCATGGCTACTCTGCAACTTGCACCCGATATCACAAACACTGTCATCTCACTCTCCGGTAAACTTGAATCTTATTTGTTTTGTAATCCTGATCCTGCTTCTGTCTGTATCTCTCTCTCTCTCTCCCCCCCCCCTCTCTCTCTCTCTCTTTCTCTCTCTTTCTCTCTCTCTCTCTCTCTCTCTCTCTCTCTTTCTCTCTCTCTCTCTCTCTCTCTCTCTCTCTCTCTCTCTCTCTCTCTCTCTCTCTCTTTCTCTCTCTCTCTGTCTCTCTCTGTCTCTCTCTGTCTCTCTCTCTCTGTCTCTCTCTGTCTCTCTCTCTCTCTCTCTCTCTCTCTCTCTCTCTCTCTCTCTCTCTCTCTCTCTCTCTCTCTCTCTCTCTCTCTCTCTCTCTCTCTCTCTCTCTCTCTCTCTCTCTCTCTCTCTCTCTCTCTCTCTCTCTCTCTCTCTCTCTTCCACTCTGAGGACACAACTGTTTCATCTTTTTGTGGACTTGTGTTTTCTTTTCATATGTCGTTGATAGAGCCTGATTGCATTGATCTGCATGGTGTGTGTTGTTGCGTAAACAAAGGCTCCAACCCTATGCATCGCCAGGCAATGGACCACCTGAGCAGTATCGGCACTGTCGTGTATCTGGACGTGGACCAGCAAGACATCCTGCAACGTCTCCAGGTCAGTGCGGGTGCATGTACTGGCGGTGGTAGCGGGTCTGTATGTGTGTGGTCCGGTGTATATCCACAGCGGAGCCCCGTTGTACAGAGCCCTGAGCAGGGGATGGTATGGTAAGGATATATCGCTTCATCCGATGATCAGGCATTTGATGCTATTTCGACACGCTATTGGCCTGGCTGCCACAAATAATGGTTATTGTGGTGAACAAAAAAGATCTTTTCAGCTCTCTGTTGTTTTTAAGAAGCAACGATCACTCGCTGGGATGAGGCCTATACTTTGTGTGAAATTCTCACTGGATTTAGAAAGTGCACTGAATCTCGTCAAGAGAACCCCCACCCCCAGAGTGTGCAACTTGACTATGGGTGCCGTTCTGACCGAATTCCAGTCTGGGCTCAACTCATTGCCGGTCACTTTGCACTGTTTGCAAGCGTGACCAATTGAATCGTGTCGTGTGACATGTAGTTCTGCCGTTGCAGCACTGGATAGAGAGGTTACACAGGCAGTCACACACACACACGCATGCACACACACACACACACACTCTAGGGGATGATACACTCTTGGAAGTATTGAGTGTCACTATCGAACCCGGCACAATTATTTGAACTCAGGGGTGTCGGACACGGTACGGTCACTACGGTGTTGACGGTAGCACGGTACCACATTTTGCCCCAGGTACCCCGTGAATCACTAAGGTGCACTGATCCAGGCTCTACATTTCCAAATGTTTGACTCAGTAACCCCTTCCCACCAGTAAATTGCTCTAAATTTCCTATTTTCTACTTCAGCCACCCCTTGACACGGGTAAATTGTAATTTATACTTCAGATGGCTGACCGTAGCACACTAAAATGCCTTCAAACGCCCCTGTAAATCCTCTGCTTTCGTATCCTTGGCATGTTTTGTTTGCAGGCAATGAAGGTCAATCGTATAGTCGGACAGACGGAGGGTGACCCCATGGACGAGATCCTAGCGTTTCGTCAACAGTTTTATGAAAGGTAAGTAATATTTTAAGAAGAACAGCTCGCATATTACCGGTACTCAGAATTGGACTCTACGCATCTGGGAGCGAAACGGCTCCCTTCGTGCCTGTGTTTGGCCAATGCAAAGGCTTCAGGCGCAGTGATGTTGGTGCTCTTCAGAACTTGTTTTGTAACGTGAATCCACCTATTTGGTGGACGTCCGCGCTAGGAAAGGTGAATGGAGGAAATAAAGAAAGGACTTGGATACTGAGTAGTGGTGTGCACGGGTAGTCGGGCTCCCGTGTTACCAAGAGTACATAAACCAGAGTGTGCAACTGTGCATATCAGATCTGAAAGTTCGTGCACTACGTCACCCTGATGAGGTCAGCCAAGCCGCGACTTGCGTACAGCTCAAATTTTCAAGTTTCATAGCCCGGAAATCAGCCACGTTTGCTTGATTTTAGACGTCCTGTTTCAGGATTTCGGTGTTTTGTGTGACTGTGTACGCTGCATACATCCACCGACAAGTAAAGTCACCAGGCTATCCGTATCAAAAAACCGAAATCAGGACAAACTCAGTGACCTGCACCACCGCGACTGGTTACGCAACTTTTCACCGTACCTGTGGCTTACCATGCCGTCAGAAATGACGTACTGCACGAATTACGCTCCCACAGGAACCATCCCGAGTTGCACACTCTGGTTTATGTACTCTTGGTGCTACCCGTGAGGACCTCGGGTAAACGGGTACCGAATCGTACCCGAAGACCCGAAGTCGCAGATGACAATCAGTCATGTAGAAAGAGTAGAGAGAGAGGTAGAGAGAGAGAGAGAGAGAGAGAGAGAGAGAGAGAGAGAGAGAGAGAGGCCTACCATTGTACATGTTCTACACTGTACGTGTGTATATAATACTCGGCATGTCTACCCAGTGTGTAAGGGAAGGGGCCGGTGTGCATTGTGGTCTTACCATGGGAACATTACCCGATCGGGTACCCGTGCTACCCGTGGAAAACTACCCGGACCCGATACCCGAAGAAAATGCTACCCGACTCAGCCCTAATATTGAGCCATTAGTAACTCACCTCTAATATTTTTTTCCCATGTGTCCTTTCATTTTTGTTACGTTTTAAACGGCAGAAACTCTATTTTCCCATGGTCACCATGGGGTACATCCAAGGTTGTGTTTCACTTTACGCTGCACAATGAGTAAAGAGTCATTTCCAAAACGTGGCACGGGGCAATGGCAACTTTACCTGGTCCTCCACCCATCTGCCCTTCGTACATAGTGCGAACAAGAGGGTTCACAGCTTGGAAGCGGGCTAAGTCATCAATGTGTCCTATCATGTGTGCTCTGTGCTGTTTGACTGGTTCTTAGAGCGTATGACGTACGCGTTATCATTCCATCCGGGAGTGATGTGCAAACTTGCGCAGACGTTGTCATAGCAACGCTTGAGAATCATCGCAACCTTCTCGCCGGCTATGTGAGCACCCGATGTTCTCGAGGTGATGAGTCAGCAGGTATGTATGCACATTTTCCGTTGTTTTTTTGTGTGCGTGTGTGTGCGTGTGTGTGTGTGTGTGTGTGCGTGTGTGTGCGTGTGTGTGCGTGTGTGTGCGTGTGTATAAGTGGTGGGGGGGGTCTCAGTGTGTGTGTGTGTGTGTGTGTGTGTGTGTGTGTGTGTGTGTGTGTGTGTGTGTGTGTGTGTGTGTGTCCCATATGGTGCAGTGGTATGTGCAGTCGATTTCCAATCGAGAGGTTGCGGGTTCAATTCCCGACGATTATGGTCGCACACGTCTTTCTTCTCTTTCTCGGACTCTTCCTGACTTTTCTTTCATTCTCCTGGGTGGTTACCAACAGCCAGTGTATGCCGGAGTATGTGGTGTGGTGTGTGTGTGTGTGTAGAAAAAAAAATGAAAAATAGGGATTCACTGGCCAGAAAAAGCCACTTCAAACAGCTGTGTGGTGGATACCAGGCTAAAAATAGTGGCGGTCAATTCATCAGTCTTGCAAGCTGTTGAATGGTGTAATCCCAGCACAAGTTGCTATATCTAACATAGCTGTTCACTATCATCGCTTCCGCGATGGGCATGTCTGAGGTCTGAGGTGTGTGTGTGTGTGTGCAGGGAAAAAAAAATGAAAAGACCAAAAATAGGGATTCACTGGCCAGAAAAAGTCACTTCAAATAGCTGTATGGTGTAGACCAGGCTGAATAGTGGCGGTCAAATCTTCAGCCTTGCAAGCTGTTGAATGGTGCAATCCCAGCACAAGTTGCTCATTGCTACCATCGCCTCCGGCGATGGGCGTCAAAAGGTCTGTGTGTGGGGTGTGTGTGTGTGTGTGTGTGTGTGTGCATAGGAGATGGGGGGGGGGGGGGTGTGTGTGTGTGTGTGTGTGTGTGTGAGTGTGCATGGGAGAGGGGGGGGGGGGGCATAAGCGCGTACATGCAGATGTGTGTATGGCAAAGGCACGTCCTCTCGTGTGTTTCTGTGTGCATGGGTGAGTGCACGTATGCGCATGCTGATGGTTGCCATGGCAGCATCAGCGTATACTTACTTCAAAGCACAGCATTCACATCGTGACAGCATACTCTTTGGCTTGTCTCCAGGGTTACCTACTTCACCTATTGAAAATCTCCATAACCACTCATCACTGCCTTTATTCTTCACACATTTATGATATCACCACCACTGAAGGGCGAGCGTTTCAGCAGAAGCCCCCCCCCCCCCTCCCCGACAGATTTGCGAATACTCTTCGCATGGACACTTAAATGTGCCTTATCTAGTTGCCTTGGGACCGTTCATCTGCCGTCACACGACGGAACGTTCTCACGCTTGCACCATCCTAGGGTTCTACAATGCGCGGCATGACACTTCTCACGACCGTCTTGGTATGGCTCGACACATGGCGCCGCAGAACATACAGGCACCAACTGAAAATCTACAAGTCTAGCACGTTGGACGCTGTACGACGTCCCCCTTTGTTTATTCTCAATATGCGACGTGCGCTCTTGTGATTAAACCTCGTATGTTTTACAGTTCCTGTTCGTCTGTATGTCCGTCTGTGTCTGTGTGTTCTCTCGCTCTTGTGTGCCGACCAAGGCCTAGAGGACGTGGTGTGTAGTGGTCTAGCGTCAGATGGTGGCCTCTTTGTGCCGCGATATCCCATCCCCAAGCTAACTGATGGCCAGTGGAGACGGCTTGCAGGTCTCTCGTTTCCGGTACGTTGTGTCTTGAGTTCATGAGGCTCTCGGAAATGTGTAATCAAAGTGCAATGTAGTCTGGTGCATCATTGGCCCAATGGCCGAAAGACTCTGAGCAACAACAGTGGCCAAGAAACTCTGAGCAACAACAGTGGCCAAGAAACTCTGAGCAACAACAGTGGCCAAGAAACTCTGAGCAACAACAGTGACCAAGAAACTCTGAGCTACAACCGTGGTCAAGAAACTCTGAGCAACAACTGCACTGTACTCTACAACCATTGCAGACTTGTTTCATGTGGCTCTACCCTCATGGCATTGAGCATCTTAGTTTGTTATCGGAGTGCATAACGTTACTACAGTCGACTCCTGGTACAAGGAACACCGCTGAGCCTGTGCAGGAAATTTTGTTCTTTACAGCCAAAGTTCTTCACAAAAGAAATGCACTTGCAACATACACGCTACACGTCATGACTGGCATGTAGTCCATGACTGTATGTGTGTACTTGGTTTTCTTGCGGCCCGGCACGATATGTTTCGCTATATAGACGAGGATTGTCTCGCTTAGCTCGGAGTACGTCGGATTCGTGATTTGAGGATGGTGCGTGTAGGGTTTTCATAGCATGGAGGAGATGTAGATAATTGGATACCTAGGTGTCTATGTGCAATCAAGTGGGAGTATTCGGAGTTAAAACAATCATTGATGCCTTGCCTTTGTCCGAAGAAAATTCCTTCCATTTTTCAGATGCCCTACCTACGGCCATTTCATTATGAGTTGACATATCGCGGGCGATGTGTTTACGTGTTTCGTCCCTTCCCGTACAGAAGCAAGCAATGCGCGATGCCTTGCATCCGTCTCCGAAGCAATTTCTTTTATT